AGCACTGAGACTTTAAACTGAGCAAAAACTTAGACCGATACAATACCTCGCATTTACCACTTGAATACCTTATATTTTGGATCTGTCAAACCTATTAGACGAAATATTAACTCAGCGAATATAATAGATGCCTTTCAAACTTTAAATGAACGCCGAAATCATTACAGTAAAAGACCTTGAAAACGCAACGGATGTGGTGCACCAAATCGGTTGCCTGACGTGCATCCTTTGAATCACTGGTCAGACATTACGTTTATTGGGGGTAAAAGAGTAAGAGTTGTTGGGCACAAGCAGGTGGTTTCTAGCCAAGAAGCTTTGCGAATATTTTGAACAGCTTTTGGACCGGCCTATCATCATATTACGACTGGACGCCACATCGATTTCTGGAAAGCATGAATAATTTGGGTAGCATCGAACATCTGTGCAAAAGTCTTGTTCAGAATCTTTCTGATTCAGAATGCAGTAACTGTGATGATTCAGGACTGTGGGCTAGAAATATCGATTACGTCGATTAGCTTACAGAAACGATTCGCAATGTCAAGCCATTCCCATCTGACGTAGGGGAACAAAGAGCTATTTCGTTGATGCCTGTGGAAAATGAGTGCGAGAGGCAGATGGTACATCCCAACCTCGTTGACTGCTGTCCTTTACTTATTAAAGTAAATTTAATATCGATGAGTCATTAGCTGACTGATTAACGCTCGCTGGAAACTCAAGGCAAAACCTAGTCCCATCTAAGCAGAAATTGTGTGAAAATATCTCAAGTAAAAGTTTTCCATTTGCGCTTTATGATGTTTTGTACAGTGTGAGAGTACAAATGTTCGTTTTTCTGAATATTCAGAGGTTTATGAAGATCATCACGCAGTGGCTGATTGCTTTGCAGACTTAGATGGTCAGCATCTATTTTTCCAGCATCATATTTACACTTCGTGGTTGAAAACGTTGAGACCATTGCTGCTTATTACTGCAAGGTTTCATTTATGTGAAAACTGTATGAAATTGATAGCAGCGAAGAAAACTGTTATCCATCTTTGTGAAAGTTGTTCCTCCATTCGTTGAGCTGATCGCTTTTCAGTCGTTGAATGGTTGTAATTCTTTATATAGTGTCTTATTGTTTTGTATATGAAATTCTATATTATTTTGTCTCTGCATTTTGCTCATGACTTGAGACATTAATGTTTGCTTCTGATCGTCATGGAACAACTCATAAGTTCCTGTTCTTGTCTACTGTAAATAATCTGATTATCAAAGATTTGGAACATTTTCGTACTTCTATGAGAGACAAACAAGTAAAACTAGGGTTTTTATTTTTATGGTTTATATGTTTAGTACTACAGATTTAGTCGTTGAATTGTAAAAAGTTGTACATTTGTGTAGTCGTTTTCTGAAAGGAGGATGACATGTATTTCTGTCTTTTCTTTGCTGCTGGAAGTAAAAGTTCTTGAATTTCTATCGAAGAAATAATTTATATTTAACGTAATTGATGTTATTCATGTCAAGAGCGTCATGGAGCAACAGGTGGTAGTTCGCGCAGTAAGGGATGAAAACAGATGAAAACACGGGGTATAAGACTGGGGAGAAAATGTGACAAATAACCCTGTTATGAGGTTAGAAGTAAAGAGCGATTTCTTACTTTTTCACGTGTGTACAGTTGTATATTGTCGGTGTTATATGGATGGTTGATATCTGAGTACTTTCTTACTAAGGGTACATCCCACTATCAGATTTTTGTAAAGACTTCAGTCAGATGCAATATGATCGATCAGTACTATAGTCTGCATTCCATAGTTGAATTTTGCACGAAGTCTTAGGAAGATTACATATGTTATTCAAGAGTGACAAAGTGAAGGAGGAGGACAAATTCACCCTGAGGTTTATGGATCCTAAATTGGTTACCATCATGACTAATTCCTACCGTAACTGTGTAGACTCAATGAGGCAATTATCCGCGCTTCTGAAAGACAAACTTTCGAACCTGTAGTAGAAGTTGTGAGCCTCTTTCCATTGTTTTCGTCATGAAACTGGCTTTATCTGATCAAGAGGGTTATGAGAAGTTGACACACGCAATTTTCAAAACGAGCAGTAGCTTCTTGCTGTGGCACATTGATCTGACATTCCTTTTCCATGGAAGATGCTCGCGGTATGCGAAGGAACGATTATTTTCTTATTCGTAGGGCATAATTCTTTGTTTCAAAGATATGAAATGTGCAGATATATTAGGCGTGTGGTCAACTGTAGACTATCGTCACGTCTTTATAAAACTACCTTTAAGCAGATTAACTGCGATGCGGTATTCAGTGTTTGGTCGTCGTTAGCATCAGGAACCTTTAGAACAGAGTTGTTCGGTCGGTAGAGCGTCAGACTCTGAACCTATAATCTCGGTTTTAGGCCCTAGTCTAGTCACTCACCTTTCTTCGTTTTAAAGTTCATAAATGAGTACCACTTTGTGAAAAGGGAACAGGACGCTCCACACACTTGTCACGTAGCTGCTGTCGGCTCTGCCTTTAAAATAAGGCACGCCTGGCTGATCACATGGAAATGGAGATCAGCGCCCCAACCATTAATTTTCTGAAACAAATGGTGCCAGAATATCTTTTCCTATCGCAAAAGTGCCAGGAGGTCCAACACCCCAATGGTTCAATATTTCTTTTTTAGACCAGGGCGAAGTTTATGAAGGAGCCAACGTTTAAGTTACTTTAAAACGGAAATGCCACAACAGAACTACAGTCAGAGTCTCGCCCCAGGTAGGTACAATGGCATCTCACCCCTGATAGGATTGTAATCATTAGGATTTTGGTCTCTTTTACACTTCCTTTTTCGGCACTATTTGAGGTACTTGAACCTTATAGTGCGGCGCTAATTCCTGTTTTGGTACTACCAGCCAAGATGTTTTTCTGTTAAAAGTTTGCACAGCTGCATGACCGATGCAGTATATACTTTATCCTGATTTCTTCTTGGATAGTTTCATTTATCTGTTAGAAGAATGACGTGAAGGGCCTCTGGCGTGACCGGGATTACAACCCTTGTTTAATCGTAATCTGCGAACCCACGCTCTATTTAGCTACGTAATAGTTCTCGTTGATGAACGGTTAAATATTTGCATCATACAAGGCGTCGTTTAAACCAAGCATAATGTTAATATTTCGCATTACTTTATGCTGAGATAACTTGCCTCTGTTAATCTGAAAAGTTAAATTTCACCTCTGTATGAGCGATCGATATGTGCTTTCTTTGTTTTGGATAGAAAGACCAGTGGCCTAACATTCTACCATATGAATGGCATGCAGCAAGAAGAAGGGTACTTGATCAAGCTGTCAGATACTTCAAAGACCAGTAATTCAAAATCTTAAAGAAATTAGTAGCTTTTGAATTTTTCGTAGCAGCTCCCAGGTGCTTCTCAACTCCAAAACGTACCGCTGTAGTTCTACCGGTTCTTGTTACTTAATGGACTACTCTGCAAAATGGCAATATGGTCTTTAATATCATTAAATGATATTTTCATTTATTCGAGTGCAGTCGATTGATATTGATTCTTGTGATTTAATACTGGCCCAGTTTGCTACTACTGGAAAGATTTTGACTTTAGTTTAGTGCATGTTTACTAACGTGGAGTATTTCTGAAATAGTGAGCATGATGTTACTTCTAGCACACCCCTCTATGGAGTGCCGCATTACTGATTGAACATCCGGAGGCCATAGTGTCTGTGCATCGCAAGTACTGTAATGGCATATTTTTAATGTGCCATGTTCGCGTATTAGATTTTTAGAAGCCGGAGCACAGGTGATCGAAACCAACAGCTACCACGCGAGTATAGAAAGCTTTCAAAAGTATAACGGGTTCTCAAAGAACAGCAGCATTGACGTTTTAAAGAGCAGCGTCGCTTTGGCTCGGGCTGCTGTACAACAACACTGTGAAGAGCATGGCAAGTCTGCAAATGAATATGTTGTTGCTGGATCCATTGGACCGTACGCAGTGGTACTTCATGACAGCTCGGAATATTCCGGTAGATATGTCTTTGAAATTCCATCCGAGGCAAGGGCATTTTGGTTGTATCTTGAATTTCACTTATTCGTGCCTTCGACGATCGTTTAGGTTATTGCCACATATTACCGGGATCAGGCGTCAGCTTTGATTGAAGCAAATGTGGACTGTCTTGCACTAGAAACGATTCCTTCTCTTACAGAAGCCAGACTTGCTATTGACGCCATTTCGAAGCTTCCGCCTGTGCCTCTTTGGATTTCTTTCTCTTGTAAAGTAACTTCTTTGAATCTCGGGAAGATCTACTGTCGCTGAATGTCTGTTTCAGAATGGAAGCTGTACGAACTCTGGCGACGAATTTTCTGATGTCGTTTCTGAACTTTGTTTGAATTCCGCTGTATCCATGATTGGCATTAATTGCACTGACCCTTCAATCGTCGGCGACTTGCTGAAACACGGTGCTTACGGAATGAAGCCATTTGTTGTTTACCCCAACAGTGGCGAAAAGTACTGTAATGGCAGGTATTGCTTATAGCCAGTCAGTTTTGATGACCGCTTATCCTTTTGAGCTACAGAGGCAGGCATGTCTGACAGTGGTCTGTGACGCCCTTTATCCTGTGCCAACGTTTGAACTTCGGCAGATGATAACCTGCACCTGAAGCAGAGTCCATCGAAATCCTTGCCCTATATTATTCTTGCTCATCCTTGACTTCTTTGGATGATCGGTTGAGGAGGTAATGCCTCTCACCTTTCTAAAGGCATTCGCAAAATATGCCTAAATCATCGCACCTGCGACTCTCAGTCTCAAGATGCAGCGGCTATACCCCAAGGCTGTTTGAAACATCTGAACTCCGCATCATGTCGAGAAGTGTGAGTCCATTGATTTGTCTCAGAAAGCCCATTTC